TGTGCGGATGCGGGAGGTGCCGGGACCCCCGGGCCCCCCCGGCAGGAAAGGCCGAGCCCAGAGATCGGGCTGGAGCCCCCGGCCCCACGCGCCCCCCCGCTGGGCGGATGGGATGGGGCAGCAGCACGGGCCCTGCCCTTGGAACCCGCAGGAAATCCTTTCCCCTCCCCGGTTTCCAGACCCGGCTGGTGAGCGGGGGCCCTCAATTACCCCCCACCCTCTCCAGTTTTCACATACCCGGCTCAGCGCGGGACGCCTGGACACGCTCTCCCGGAGCTGCGTCATCTCCCCATGTCTGCGTTAGCCCAGTCCCTCCCAGTTTCCACCAGCGGCTGGAAGGTTTAGTGGGAGCTTCTCAGCTTTACCTTTGGCTCCCGTGGCACTGTGTGCCCCCACCAGCCATCTCAAGCCCCTCCGAGTGGGGTGATGCCCCAGGACAGGTTCCCAGAAGTGAATTTAGGGCCACACCAGGCTGCTGTGACCAACTCCAGCACAGCAGCATCAGGGTGACCCCAGGCAAGACTCAATCTGGGGGAGCAGCTGCCCCTGCAAAGGCAGGCCAGGGGACAGAGGGTGTAAATCCCCTCAGGAGATGTAAACCAGCCCTGGTTTTGCAGCTCGTGCTTGGGCACGGACATGGGGCAGAGTTTGGAGGCAGAGGAGAGGAGAGGGAGCACTAAAATCAGCACAAGCAGCTGCTGAGAGCCCCAGAAAACAGAGCAGGAGCCCAAAGCCTCGTAAGAAAAGAAGAAAGTCTTAGCGTGGTAGAGGATGGTCCTGGGCTGGCTGGTCAGTTAGGTACTGCAGGCAGGAGCAGGATGGCTGGGGTACACAGAGCCCCTGCGGGGGGCAGTGCTGGGGCTGAAGACAGAGGAATCGGGGCAGCGTGTGCTCTAAGCCCCAACGGGGGCAGAGTCTTGGGCAGCGCTGCCTTCTCTCAGCACAGTCAGACTAAGCCATGCCTGGAAGTTTGTATTAAAACGTTTACAAGGGTTCAAAAAAGGTGTACAAAAAGGGTAAAAGCCACATTTGCCTCTTCGCCTGGAGGCTGGTAGAAGTGCTCCCCCCACCCACCATCCCCACCTTTCTCAGCTGCCCAAAGATGGGCTTTGCCCAAGGAGAGGGTTAGGAGAAAGCTCAAATGCTTGATGCACGTTTAGGCTAAGTCCTTAGTAATCTCAACATTATATTCAGGCTGCTCTGCTGCAGCCAGGGACAACCTGTGTGCCCGGAGAGAGCCTATCCAAAGGGAAATCTCCTCGCTGGAGGCCACAACAGCTGAAGACTAATAACACAAAAAACATCAGCGCTCTGGGCTTCTCCCTGCATGTAGCAGACCCCAAGGGCACCGTCCACAAGTGCCCAGGTAGACTTGTGCAGCCAGGAAAGAGCCACCTGAGCCAGGAGGAGCAGTTCTCTGAGTGTCCCAAGCATCCAGGAGCCAGGGCTGGGCAGGCGGGGATGGGGAAGGACAGACAGACACTGGCCAGGACTCAGGACAGCCCTCATGCCGCAGCAGCACGTTCACATGGGGTAGTTGAGAACAACATCTTGCTTGGCCAGCTCCAGCAACATGGGGTCATCGAAGAACTTGCTGATGCTCACGTCCTCACTCAAGCCCTGCAGGGTAACCACAGAGCCAGGGGTGATTCCTCTGGCAGCCAGCACTCACACGCCCGGCAGAGATCCCAAACAGCCCCACTGTCGCGCAGGAAGATAAATTTTTGGGCTCCAGAGAAGGCAGGAGAATTTGCAAGGCACGGGGCATTTCTCAGCAGCCCGAAGACATCTAACAGCCTCTCAGGAAGCTGTAAATGTGGTGGCTGCTGCTGCTGAGCATATCTACCAGCTCACTGCCCCCCCAAAGTGGAGCCTGATTCCCTCCACGGCCCCCGGAGCCCCTTCAACCCCTCAGCCCAGCTCACTAAGCCAGCACAGAAACCAGTCGCTGCTTTTTCTGAAGGACAGACAGGCCACGTCAGGCCACCAAGGGGTCAGATGGGCTGGGGAGGGAGCAGGGCTCAGCACGTGCCACAGGACCCCGCTTTTGGCTGGAGTTGCTGCCAGATGAGTTGCTTGTGGGACCATCAGAGGCACCAACAGGCAGCCTGGGGGATCAAGAGCGCAGGAAGTCCAAGGGCATGAAGGACATCGGCCCACGCTGGGAGCACAGAGGGGATGTGGCACAGCCAGGGGACAACTCTGCAACAGCTCAGCTGCCGGTGCAGATGGACAGAGGGACACTGTGGGGGCCACTCCCAGACATACCTTCCTACGCCTGGTCTTGATCATGAACTCTCTGGCCAGGTGCGGGGCTGGCTGCGGCTCCAGGGGCCGGATGACGATGCTCTTGTCCAAGGGGTCACCAGGCACGATCTGAAACACAGGGCCAGGATGTGAGAGTGATGCTGGGAGCTGGCTCAACCTCCTGGAGACCCTGAGCTGCAACGGGAAACACCCCCTGGGCCCTGCAGACACCCCCCAGCCCTGATGTGGCAGCCCCAACACACCATCTGTTCTCCTGGCACAGAAACACCTCGGTGCTGGTGATCATGCCCGTGAGAAGTCACCAATACGGTGCTGGTAACCCCAGCCAAGAACATGTCCCACATTCCCCACATGCTGGTGTACTGCAAGACCTCTAAAAACCTGCTACCCAGAACAACCCACGGGGGCTCCAGTCAGCACAACCCTCTCTAGAAATCAGGCGTGTTTATTCTTTTCAGAGCTAAGTCTCAGACTTTTACCTCTTGACCTTTAAGCCACTTCTTGAGGCTCAAACTGCTGCTGCTCTCACCTGGCTCTACCACAAGTAGCTGTGCACCCCACAGTGGGAGCTCCCACAAGACCTGATTCACCACAGGCATAGAAGTGGCCAGAGGACAATATTTTGTTCCAAATACCATTTTCCACAGGTTTAAAAAGCCTCCTCTGAGAGGAAAAGCCGAAGCATGGCAACCTTGTGTCTTACAGTAGACCAAGGAGCCCAAGCCCTGCTCCAAGCCTTCTGCTCCCCAAGCTGCAGAGCGCCTGCACAGCTTCCCTTCTCCCAGAGGATGTCCTCTCTCTGGGGACTGAAGGACCCTCACGCGCAGCAACCAGCAGCCCTCAGCGCTCCCTCGCTAGGGCAAAGGGTGACGGGACTTGGAACAAAGGCACTGGACACTGACAAACCCTTCACAGCCACTGGGCAAAGCTTCCCCTGCTCCAGATCCCTTGGGAACGTGCTCCAGAGAAGTTTCCTGCCCTGGGTGAGCTGTGGCACTGAGCTCCAGTGAGAGCACCCACCTGGTGCCTGCTCCAACCACGTCCCTCCTCCCAGTCTCAACAGGGCTTGGACTCACCTGCCAGTGGTGGAAGACAGAGAGCGAGAAGGCTTGTCCCTGCGTGTGGGTCCTCAAGTCTGTCTCAAACCCAAATGAATCAATGGCTGGGATGAAGGCTTTGATAGTGTAGAGAGGAGAGCCCGGGATTGGGGCATCCTGTGTCACATGACCTCTGCCAACACACCAAAAGATTAGTCTTCCTCTTTGTCACAGAATCACAGGACAGGTGAGAAGGGACCTTAAAGCCCATCCAGTCCCATCCCCTGCCCTGGGCAGGGACACCTTCCACTAGCCCAGGTTGCCCAAAGCCCCGTCCAACCTGGCCTTGAACCCTGCCAGGGAGGGGGCAGCCACAGCTTCTCTGGGCAACCTGTCCAGGGCCTCACCCCCCTCACAGGGAATAACTTCTTCCTTTTATCTAATTTAATCTCTCCTCTGTCAGTTTAAAACCATTCCCCCTCGTCCTAGCCCTACCCCCCTGATCAAGAGTCTCTCCCTCATTTCCTGTAGCTCCCCCAGAGCATCTTAGTGGCCTCCTCTGGCCCAGCTCGAGCAGGTCCGTGACCTTCTGATGTTGGTGCCCCCAGAGCTGGATGCAGCACTGCAGGGGGGTCTCATGTCCCTTTATATATTCTCCTTTCTGACACTCAAGGACAAACCAGGCACAAACCAAAGGCCGTGCATGGTCCTGGACAACCCCTCCCCACACAGCACAGGGGCTGAGATCAGTCAAGGAAGCTTTCAGCTGTCACCTCATACAGATTTCACCCTCTCCCCTCGCTTCACAAGCGGTATCAGGATCGGGAATGTCTCCAGCAGCCCAGACCCCAGCCAGCAGTTGCTGCTCTGCAACACTGAGGTGGTGGCAGCCAGTCAGAGCAGCTCACCTCCGCCTGGCCAGGACCGTGTACACTGCAGACACGCAGTCAGCAGGAGCCTGCACCTCCACAAAGTAGTAAGGCTCCATCAAGCGAGGGGTGGCCTGTGAGGAGAAAGTGAGACAAGCCACTGAGCCTCCAGCAGCACCAATGCATTTCAGCTGGAGTCAGGGACTGGCTTTGGTCAAAGACAGCACCTGCCTGGGGATGAAAGGGCTCCTGCTGCCCCACGGCTGCCCAAAACAATGTCAAACAAAAGCTCAAAGTAGCTCTTCTCCTTCTGGCCATGAGTCACATGCTTCTGTCTCCCCACACCCACCCTTCCCAGCAAACCAAACAGTAGCAAAACCGGGAGACAGAGCAGATGCACACAAGTTTCCAGCCAGTCTGGAATGTGATTGCTTGTAAAACCCATCTGCAGCCCACAAGGGCACTGGAAACATCAATGGATGAGCGAGTCAGTTTAAATCCCATCCTTGGGGCAGACAGTGCAGCCCATGTGCAACCTGCATTCCCTGGAGCCCACAGGAGCCGGCGCAGCGCGAGGTTCAGCCCGTCAGGCACAGCGAGTCCTCACCATCAGGAAAGCGGAATAGACGACTCTGCGGGCCGTCGGGATGATCTGTCCCCCACCCCGGTGCAAGGGCTCCTGAGCAATCACTGCGTCCAGGATCTTAAACTTCACATTGCGGATCACTGAGGAGGCAGAAAACGACAGCGAGTGACCCAAGGGGGATGTTCTCTGCCCCACCAGCACCAACCCTGCCTCCCCAGAGACCCCGCGCACACAGCAAACACCCAGAGACCTAGAGCCACCACAGGAAGTTCTCCTGCATTTAATTCCAGCAGGAAAAGCCCGACCATGTCCTAACCCTGCATATCAAACACAGTTCAGCAGCTTATCCTGCTGGGGCTCGCTGCTCTGCACCTGAACTACAGGAGCAGGGCCAAGGCCTGGAGGAGCCAGCTTGTCAGGTGACAGGTCCCAGCTTGCGGGCAAATGGCCAGTGCCAGTGCCTGGTGGCACCTGCAGGCAGGAACAAGGGGGAGGTTCTGTTATCTCCCTTGTCCCCCATCCCCAGAGCTGTCCCCAGCTGTGGTGTGAGAAGGGAAACGGCCACTGAGGGACTGCACCATCAAAATCACTTGAATGCTTAGAGATGGGAGAATTTAACTGATTTTCTCAGCTCCACTTCTCCACAGGTCCTACTTACGTTCATCACAGAGAGGCCCTTCCCTGGTCCCCCACTGAAAGCCCTGCACAATGCTGTCCTTTACAGAGCCCAGCAGCGACTTGTCCACCTACAGACAGACAGACTGCTTCAGAGATCAAATCTGCAACATGAGGCAGTAACAGACCCCAGTGTTTAAAAGCCAGTTCCTAGAAGAGCAGCAACATCCCCCTACACCCTCAGTGTCACCCCTCCCTCTCACAACTCAGGATCGTCATCTGGAGAGTTTGGATTCTAAAGCCATATATTAAAAGAGGCCATATTTTGGTAATCCTGTAAGGCAGCCCAATTAGTTGCCAATTTTGAGGATGTTGGCCCAAAGAGCAATGCTTGAAAAATAACAGGCGATTTGCTAGCCAGTGTATGGTGGAGGAAGTACAGAAGATCTGAGATCTGGCAAGCCAGTGACCACTCCAACAGCATCAGGACCTTGCTGCAGGTTCTGGAAGGACCAGCCACCTCCTGGCACCACAGGACAAACGTCTCACTGAAATGTAACCCCCTGCCTGTGTTCCTCACCTCCGAGGGCAGTGTATCATCTACTAGGATGTTTGGGCCAGTGGCATCTGGCCCAAAGGCCCAGATAGAACGGGCAGCCAGCAGATCCCAGTCATACTTGGTCTGGAAGAATTCACCCAGCTTCTTTCTGATAGGAGGAGGAAATAAACTTTAGGTAACAAGTATCCGACCTGCACTCACAACACATTTATGCCCCTGTTCCCTTCAGCTTTTTACCTGGAGCAACAGATTTGCTGGGGAGGGATGCTCATGGACTAGCTGTAAGCAATACTGGACCCTGCCTAGAGACTACTGGCTGATATTGTCCACCTCGCAGATTCCAGAATTCCCCTTCCCCCTGCCCCAATTATTTGCTCCTAGATGGATTCCTGCTCTCCCCAGATGGGTCATACCTGTTCCACGTTATCTGGACCACTTCATTTTCAATGTCCTCTGCAAGTCCCTTCTCCAGAGGCTCAGCAATCATCGTGATCTTGTTCCTGGAAAGAAAACCAGTTGCAATCCACAGAATGACAGAAATGGGAGTAATTGGCAGGACCTCAGGGTCCTGCACTGCCTTGAGCACAGCTGGGGAGATGAAGCCATCCGTGTCTTTCGCTGTTAATGTCTTGCTTGTAAAGACAGCCCGTGTGCTTAACCACCACTCTCCAACATCTGCCCCTCTCTGGAAGCAGAATGCTAAGGGACAGCATGGCTCCATACCTCCTGCCAATGTCCAGCACTTGTCCAGGCTGCAGAAGGAAGCCCACGGGCCGGGCAATGTGCCTCTATCAGAGCCAACACTTGCTGTGTCCAACACACCAGGTGTCGCCCTGGAGAACCCCACCAACGCCAGTGACCTTCCCCCAGAGCAGGTCACGCCACAGGTCCAACAGTTCGAAGACTGGAGCCTCTCTGTTCCCAAAACTAAGGCTACCAAGCGTGGAGAGAGTACACCAGAATAAAGGAGGGTAAGAAGAACCAGAAACCACAAGGGAACACAGGAAAGCTCTCTTCAGCATATGTCAGATCATAATTTCCCTGAAAATTCAGGCATTAAAACATCCTGTGCTCCTAGATTTAATCCTGGTTATTCAGCCCATGTTCCCTTGCAGGCCTCCCTCTTTCAAACACATGCATCTCAAACATGCTGGAGGAGGAAGATGAGACCAGGCTGCAAGGCTCCAGTGCATCACCAGAAAGGTAAAAATCCATTTCAAGATTAAGAATGGGTAAGAGAAGACAAAGCTTTTGCTCATTAAACATTTGGGGAGTTACTGAAGGCAGCAATGGGCAATCTGGCATCTGCTCTAGGATCCCAAAACACCTCCTAGTCTTGGAAATACCACGAAATTGCTGAGAAAGTGTGAAATTTAGCTAAAGAAAGGAGGATGTGGATCTGTCTTTATTCCCTCCATTCTGAGAGTTCCTAAAAAGCACAGAAACATCTCTGGATCTCCAGTGTGTTATGGAGGAGTTCAGCAGAGCTGCTGCCAGCTCAGGCACACACTACTTGTCTGGGCAACAGCCACGAGAACAGACCTCTGGAGTGGACGAAGCCCAGTCTCCAGCCAACCCCTGCCTGCCCAGCTCCAAGGCCCAGCTCACCCACGGGCTCTTACTTCTTGTTGGGTGTCTCAGCAAAGCACTTCAGGGAGGACGTTTCCACCACTGTCTCACAGAATGTCACGACTGGATCAGCCACCTGGAATAACAACAACAGGTTTGTAAGGTTTTCAAGTCCTTGTTTGTTTTTAAAAAGACTGTTTGAAACCTTTGAACACCTACAAGAAAAAGCTGGTTCATCTGCCAGTGCTTTAATCAACATTGTGTATGAAGGACCGAGGCCTGCAGACAGCTGTACTAACTCCTTCATTCAAACGAGGCAGGTACATTGAAACCTAATTCCAGGTATGACAAATTCTGCTGAATTTGTTTATTTGAGGCTAGCCAGGCAATGGCTGAAGCACAGGAAAGGCTGGAACATGGTCACAAACCCCTCTCCAAGCCAGTCTTCAGGCTCTCAATCATAATGGTGTGACACAGTCAGCATGTAAGAGTTTTGCATCCTAACAGCCCTTTTTTCCCTTTTAAAAGAACTGGACAAAATTCACACTCCATGTTCAGGGAGGTTTATTTTCCCACTGTTCTGAATATGGGAACAAAACACACTCCCCAGAGGGGAAAATCCCTCTCTTTCCTCACCTTGATATCAATCTCTGAATACATCTTCCGCAGATCATGCATCACACAGTCCAGGTAAAGCTCCCCTGTCCCCAGGATCACGTGCTCCCCAGACTCTTCCACCTGAAAAATAAGAGAGGGGTTCAACTGACAGCATTACTGCTCTCAGGCCCTTGCCTTCCAGGCTCTTACAAAAGCCTCAGGAAGTATCACCTTTAAATAAATTGGTTCACATCAGAGTTGCCCCAGGAAAGCTCCCACAGTCTTTTTTAGCAGAAAGTGCTGATGTGCCCTACAGAAAGCTGCTTCCCTGGCACAGCAAGGTGTGTGTTTTTCTGCTAGATTTACAGTTTCCTGCTATTTCCACATGATTTATGAGATCAACTGCAACAGCATAAAAAAACCACAAAAAAGGAAACAACCTGCAGTAAAAAAATATTGACTTTTAAGATCAGGCTACAAGGTAGCCCATAGCATGAGCTGAAAACAGCCATAACCACACCAGAAATACCTTAGTAGTAAGCGAGGGGTAACTCTTGTTGACTTTGCGGAGACCATCTAACATTTTGGGGAGCTCCGAGGGGTTGACTGGCTCTACAGCTATTTTGATGACAGACGTGGTGTTGAACTTCAAAGGACGGAAGATCTGAGCCTGAAACCAGATGAGGACAAAGAACTGAATCTCTGCATCCTCAGGTGGCCACAGTATTTGCTGCTCTTCTCCTTCCCTGAGTGGCTCCTGTGCCCAAGCTCCTCGGCAGTTTCATTAACTGCACCACTGGAGCTCTCGAGATGTGCTTCATCATCTCGACTCCCTCCAAGGCCGAGACAGACAGACACAGCAGCAGAGTGATACCAGCTACAGGCAGCAGCCCAGCAACCCCAGCTACACACGGTACCTCCTCGTTGCCCCGGGGCTCCGTGACAGTCGCAGTCTTCACTATGGGCTGGTCCACTCCTTCTATCAGCACCCAGTTGCCCGCAGGAACTCGGTTGACCTCGATGTGGTACCTAGAAGGCAGGAGCATTGCTGCCACCAGCCCCAGCCCCTGGCAGCGCACTCCTCCTCCTCCCAGCAGCCACTTCAGGTGCCCTCTCCCCTGGACGAGCGAACTGCCTGAGCTTTCCCCACCTCGCCACCGAGATCCAGAGGCGCCCGACAGTGCAGATCTGGGAATCCTCCTCATCTTCCAGGGTGTAGTTTTCTCCAAGGACCTTCACCGGCTGCCCAGCGTGGATGGTCCCGCTGAGCACTCTGCCAAAGGCGTGGAACTGAACGCCGTCGTCCGTGCTGTACATTTTCGTGGTGTGACACATCAGCGGCCCCTTTCCAGGAAAGGGAAATAAGCCTCTTTCAAAATACAGTCGAGAAACACTGACCTGGCAGGACTCGTGGACAGAAAGGGATTAACGGGCTGGAATTTAGAAATACTTGTGTTGACTTGCCAAGCCCTTCATTTCCTTTCCCTGAAAGCCTTACATCTCCCTGCCTGTACGGAGACCCCTGGAACGACTTTGCTGGACTCTTCTGGAGCTTCTCTCCCTCCTCTTGGGGAGCAGTAAATAGTGGCTGGGACAAGACCAGGAGAGGAAATGTCACCTGCTGGCCTGCAAAGCAGCTCAGGGCAGAGCACCCGAGCCTCCAGGGATCACAGCTCTCACGTCACTCCACAACTGGTGAGCTGGTGACAGTCACCACTGTATAGTTTTAGGTGGGTAATCACAACCCATTACAAGAAGAGATTCGTTTTCTCTCCAGACATCAGAGCAAAAGTCACAGGCAAATTCCCCGCTAGCTGCTGCCTGGCGTTGGTGGCTCTAGACAGCTCTGAATGACAGCTCAGTACAAGCT